CCGAAACGTCAGCAATTGTGTTCTAATAAATTCTATATTAACAACCTCGTGTCTGCTTATTGATGAAAAACATTGAATCTAAGAATATTCGAACCAGGTCAGGTTGTTTCGGGATCCCAGGAAAAAAACGGTCCATGAGCGTTCAATAAGCCAATACCGAGAGAAGATAACTGGTCCTTAAGCTGCAGTCAAGTACATCTCTCCTACGAAAGACAACTAACCGCATGAAAGAACTGCTGATAATTACATGCCATGTGAAGACAAGTCGTTAAACTACCTATGTAATTAAGCAATCTGCTTAAACGCTGGGTACTATAAATCAGATAGACAACTGATGTTTGGCACTTTAGATTCCCAGAAGAGTAACAATTTGTATCAAGCCAACCAATTTTGCGACTAGTGAAATAAACGTTTGAGGACGATGCAACAAGTCGAATCTAAGTAGGAGGGTTAAGATATTTCAGCAAATAAAAAAGGATTAAGCTTTCGGTGTTGATCGATTCTTGAGGGATGCGTTATACATTCGATTTCACTAAGCACCTTTGAAGGTGATTGAATGCATATCTAGTCGTTACAATGACTCGCGGTAGCTTTCCGATGTGTTGACCCAGAGTTACTATCCTCCCAAACAAGTCTGGTACCAATTTGCCAATCCAGGAAGAATGGAAGGCTTGGTGAGCTTGGAGCGTGAAGATCGATCTCATGTGTGTTGCAAGGAGCCTCGGACCACTACGCTACACGCGCCGCTTTTCAAGAAATAGCCGAGTAAATAAGACAAGTAATCCTACCTTGCTTTAATGAGGTCGCGGTCAAAAAGCCTTCGATTCCATAAGTGATATGCCGTATCCTCAGGTGCACAATCACTCAGTATTCGCAAAAACCTTGAAAATTCTTCACAAGATATAGGAGGCACAGTAGCGAAAATCTGAAGACGAAAAATAACATAACTTACAACGATAACTAAATTTTCCAACAAATTCCATGTTTACCTAAATAAATCAACCAATGACTGGCTGTCACTTGATATTGTTAAAGAAAAAACCCAAACACTTCCACTTTCCGTTCCAGTTTTACTCTTTCAAATTCTCAAAGCGCAGAAAATTCAAAATGTAGCCTCCAAAAGAAAGCATACATTATCTAGTGCAGTAGACCAACTTTCTCGGCGAGACTTCCCTTCCTGTCTCTTCTCACTGAACTCATCAGTAAGTCTCTTCAGTAATCTATGCCTGAAACGCCATTTCTTTGATTAGTATAGTCCCATAGCACCCGCGAAATAACGCGTTGCGGAAGCTCCAACTTGTTAAGTACTGGAAAAAAAATCTCGAAATGTCGGTTAACAATGGTTCACTGACTAACATGGAATACGAGTAAAGATTTTTGGATACATTTCGCTCTGTGGATTTTGGATAAATGTTGCTTCCATATCAAAAATTTAGTTTCGATGCAATAAAGTGAAACTGTCACTGAAAAATTGTAGTGACGAACAAAATCTTTAAAACAAAAAGGAAAAACAGAACACCACAACGAACCACGCATCCTTGACCAATTCGATAGAATACACCATTTTTGGAGCGATATTATGCCACGGAATAACAGAATCGTATTGACAGAAATCCTAGAATGACCTGTTGCTATAGAGAACCAGCTGAGAGACAGGGGAAACGAAGGACCCGCATGGTGTAGTGGTCAACAACGTGTTAGCCCTCGTAAAGGATAATGGCGGGTTTCGTTCTCCATCGCAGACATCAGCGGTCCGGAGTTTTGCAGATATCTCAGTATCATTGTAGATCAGTTACTATAGCTTGTCAGAATACTTGAAACAACAACAACTACACATTTTTAGACATAAATAACAAATATGGCATTGCTGGAAGCATCTACTAATTCTTATACTTCTTAATGGACTTAACAGTCATGCTCTGCTAAGCCTTTACTTGATATTTGAATGGCCCGTCCTCATTGGTTACGTGGGCCGCAGCAAAAATCCCACCTTTTCGGAGGAGCTCTGTTAGCTTAGCCATTGTGGTTCCCTGGAGTTTTAAGATCAGTCAGGCCAAAGCCTATCCTAGGTCGTCACCACCACAGACAGTCGCCGCGCTTGTGGATCAGGAGATTTCTCACCATTCGACTAGTTTGATACCAAGACGATGGTGGATCCTGGTATTGGTTTACTTTTAGCTGGGCTTCCTAATGGAAACGTGGGAATTCTTCTCAGCTTGGGAGGTCTTGCGGGAGGATGAATGCCCTCGCTGTACATCACTACCGGACACCCAGGAACACCTCCCTGCCACGATGACGCGGTAAACTATTGGGAGACTACGCGCTATCCTGTAACAATAATAATGGACCTTAGTCAAACACATGAAGTTTCGGAAAGGATCCGTCACTAAGAGCGATTCAAAATTTGAAAAATACCTCTATCCTTCCTCTGCGAATAGCTTTACAAATAATGTGCTCGAATTTTCGCTCAGTTGGTAACAGTGTGTGCTTCATGATGAGAACTAAATATGGGACACTGATTTATGGAAGTATAGTCCTTTGTGTTAAGAACTAAATCTAAACAGCAAACGCACTCCACAGTCTTTTCCAGAAGAAATCTGGGACAGGTCCAGTACGTGCTAATATACTTCGAATACGATTGTGACAGGTGTGTGCGGGACGATTCATAAGCTAAAACATTTTCGGCTTCAAAACGCTAGATCAAAGAATAGAAGAAAAACCTAGCAACATGGCAAAGTTCAATGAAAGAGGTACTTTTCCAATTGTCCGAATAGACTTGTACGACAAACCAAAAGTCCTGTAGTGCTGGAGAAGCTTTTCCGTTTCTTGTAAGGTCCATTTAACACTGAAAGAAGAAGATATTACTCTTTTAGAATAAAAAAGATGTTACGACATGGTTTTTTTCCATTATTCGCACCTATATATTATAAAAGTATATATCTTCAACAATCTTTAAATATGTATCTTTAATCTTATCTTAATCTTTAAATATGTCCGAACTTTTTTGAATACGAGATGTCAGCATGACCACTCAGAATAGAGGCATCAAAAAGTACTCCGATTCGTCGTCGAACTTGTGAAGCACTACGATGTGGCAAGTTGAGACCTGAAAGAAGGATATGCGAAATTCTTTGATATCCAACTGAACTATCACAATTCGGAAACATCAATTGGCAAATAACTAAGTACTTCATCAAGCGCAAACATACGCAGATATATATATATATATATATATATATAAACGCTCAAAAATGGGTATATAGAGGAAGTGCGTAAAAGAACAGCAGTGAAGCCAGTCATCATGAGCATGATTCTGGTTCGACCCCGCATAGTGCTCATCGAGCTTCCCATAACTACGATGTAGAGAAATTGGTAACAGACTTGCATGAGAAAATTCACTCTCTGCACTCTCAGTGAGAACGCTCTAGTCTACCTACTTCAGGAGAATCGACTCGACCAGTATTCAACAGTATTCATCTCGAAAGGAAAATTCTTAAGCAACAACCCGCACGCAAAAGTTCGAAGACTTTCGTGGATGGTGGATAGAACGTAATGAAACGAATGCAAGAAATACTAGGATTAACAAAGAAGGTGTGGAGTACAAGTTGTTCATAAGAAAAAAGATTTTTTAAAAATTTTTATACGACCCGTCTTCACGTCTACTGTGCGGATCCCAACACTTCTTACATTCGATGCCTTCTCGTCCATTATTCACGAAGATCTTCCAACTTTTATGTGTGGCCCCGGCTACCACCTGAGTATTATCATTGCATCTTGAATGTCGTAGAATTCAGATCCAGCCGATTCTCCCAGGAGTCCTGAGATAGCAAGGCTGGAGCAATTCCAATTAGATTGTGGAGAGTGATCATTTCCAAGACAAGCCTCGCACCAATTTCCGACCTCAGAGAGATGGAAGGCTTGGTGGGCCATGGGCCTCATATATATATACATATACATATGTAATATAAATATAAATATATATATATATATATATATATATATATATATATAGTACTTGACACTTGAACGACCCGCACTAGTTGCGCGGGCCTCAGCATAATCACCATTTTTCGGAGATTTGCTGGTTAAGCCATTGTGGTTCCCTGAAGTCCCGAGGTCAGCCTGGCCAAAGTTTGCCCAGCTCATTACCATCACAGGCAGTCGCCGCCCTTGTGGATCACAGGGAGATTTGCCATCATTAGTTTGATACCAGGACGGTGGTGAATCCTGATATTGGTTTACTCTTAGCTAGGCTTCCTGATGGAAACACCGGACTCCTTCTCAGCTTGGAAGACCCTGCCGGGGAGACGAATCTCCCCGCTGTACGTCGCAGTCCGTCCAACACCCAGGAACACCTCTAAGTCACGATGTGGCGGTAAACCGTTGGGAGGATATATGGTACCTGCACTATACATACAGCACAAATATATATTCGTATATGTATATGCCTATATATATGTATATATACATATATATATACACATAGATGCATATACAGAGTGTCTTACAGCTGCCAAATTCTTCAACAGCAGCTGAAATGACCGCAAGAGGCGTAATAACTAAACTCACATAAGCTTGGCCAAAGTAAAGTAGTTCGATTGAACTCCAGACGTTCTTGATAATCCCGGAACATCTAAATCATAGAAAATAAACTACGTATTAAAACTAACTTCAAGACGTTACTACTGATGATAGGAAATCGGAGTGAAAATAACTGCCTTGCATCCTGGAACGCCAGCATAATAAGGTGCCATATCGTACTCGAGATCATTTTTAGCAGCAAATCTAAACAGTGAACAAACACTGTACTAGCGAATACGTTCTTTCTACTGGAGGTAGAACAAAGAGAGGTAAAACAAAAACATTCTCTGGTTACAGTCGTCGATTTGTTCGAATACATGAAGACAACAAATAAAGCAGGAAAAACTACACACGTAATAGAACCAACAACGGAAACTAGCCTTCTTCAGATCCCACTATATGTTGCACAACCGCAAATTCATAAATAACTAGTAATTTTAAAGAAAACACCAAGATTTTATGCAACGAACCTTCTCCAGTTCTTCCGAATCTGTTTGTCTTCAGCAGGTGTAAAACGTGTCCTTGGTTGATATGGGATACCAATAACACAAATAAGTACTCATAAGATTTATAAACCTTTTAGCTAAAGGCATCAGAGTAAAAGAAAAACTAACCATGTTCTCGAAGACGCTCGATTTCATTACGCGTTAAAGGTCTGACGCTGACGTGATGGAATAAGAATCCATCTTCGTTATACAGACCAGATTCGGGTACACGTTTTCGACAAGGCATTCTTTCGCAACAGCAAGGTACCACTCGTTCAAAAAGGAGTCGTGAAGTATTTGAACTGGATTAGCAGACTAGTATGTTAGCAAACATTTGAAATCTGAACTAGATTTTATATGAAGCACGTCTGATGTCTCGATACGATATTCGCAATCATACGAGACCAACCATTCAAACGGTTTACCACCTTGTCGTGGTTGAGAGATGTACCTGGGTATCGGGTTGTAACGTACAACGGGAGTCATCCCCTAGCAGGGTCTCCGAAGCTGAGTCCGGCGGTCACATCAGGAAGCCCAACTAAGAATAAACCAATTCCAGGATCCACCACCGTGCTGGTATCAAAGTCACATAGTGGCAAATCTTCTTCTGATACACAAGGGTTGCGACAGCCCGTGATGGCCAAGACCTGGGGCAGTCTTTGGCCAGGCTGACCTCAGGACTCCAGGAAACCACAATGGCTTAACCAGCAAATCTCCGAAGAAGTGGAGATTATGCTGGGCTCCCACAACTAGTGAAGATGGGCCCTCCAAGTATCCAGGTATCAAAGTAAGAGATCAACCGCAGTACAGATAAGGAATAAAAACAAAAACACTTTATTCGTAACAACAACATTCAAAAAGAGAAACCCGTTCAGTAATGGTAAGAAAACATACAAATTATAAACATGTGTAACCAGAGACACTGGAACTACAATCAGAAACAGAGCTTCCTAACAGCAAACAACAAACAGTATATGAAGACGAACATTGAGACTGGAGCGAGCATGAAATCTAAAGACATGTTATAAGAGAAGTGTACTCAAAAAGGGCACATAAAGCTTACCCTCTCCACCACACTGATCACTACTCCAAACAGATGGAAAGCGGAGAAGAATATTGATTGGCCAAAAGGCAACACCTGGGATACAGAATGCCTAGAATGATGTAAAATAGGCAAGGAGTGTTAAGATAAAATAGCAAGCCACGACATGACGTTGCCCGTACTCTGCCAATGGTTCCCAGGATCGACTTTCTCTTAACCTCGGCATTGGAATATGAATGTGTCGTTTTCTTGTTCAGCAATAGCGAGGTTTTTAAACAGCATACATTTACTTCCATAAAAACACAATACAATACAACGCTCGATGACGTTTCGGCAGTATCGCCTTCTTCAGAGCCGCTTTTTCGTGACTTCCAATGAGGAAGTTTAGAAGTTGCGGCAGTCGTCAACCACATGCGACTATAATCAGCTGTTCTAAACTTCCTCATTGGAAGTCACGAAAAAGCGGCTCTGAAGAAGGCGATACTGCCGAAACGTCAGCTAGTGTTGTATTGTATTGTTTTTATGGAAGTAAATGTCTGCCAATAGTATCGTAAATGGAAAGAGAATTCAAAACCATCCAGATATTAACTATATCGATGCAGAGATATTTGCAAAACTCCGAAGCGCTGGTGTGGGCTGTGAGGACTGAACACGCTATTACTCTTCCCAGGAGCTAACGCGTTCACAATCACACCATGCGAGTCCTTCGTTATGCCCTTCTCTCAGCCGTGTTATAGTTATATAGACCTATGGGTGTAAAGAATAAAAGGATAAAAGTCTCGGCATTGATAAATCCCTGAGGGATGCGCCATGCACTCGAGTTCACTAAGCATCGTTTGGAGGTAATTGAATGCATATCTGGCCTTTACAATGACTCGAGGTAGCCTGCCGATGTATTATGTCCGTGCTGCTGTCCTCCTGGACAAGTCTGGTATCAATTTGCAAACCGCGAAGGAATGGAAGGTTTGGTGGGCCATGCGCCCAGAGATCAATTCCACGCGTGTGTTCCAGGGCGCCTCCGACCGTTGCGCCATACGCGCCATCCTATAGGTACATGACCCATGTTTAGATATTGTTCAGCTAACAGCACAACCGCGTAAAAGGAGAAGCAAACTTGTTTGCCATCTTAGTGGTGGACAGCTTGAAAAATGTTCGCATCTGAGCAGATTAATACAACCGTTTCTTCACAAATTTCATCACATGACTGGCCAAGCAAATAGTAAAAAGGATTATACCAAATAATAAAAAAGAAATCTTTGCCTTAATAAAACTTGTCTCTGGAAAGGAAAATAAAAGAGCGACTAGTTCGGTTTGGATGTTAACTCATACAAACAAGGAGTAAGTACCGGTTACTAAAGTCAACGAAACGCAAAACCTACATAGATCCCTGAAACAGAATGAAGAAGCAATAAGCCAAATGCCTGCAGAACAATCCTCACTGCTACTTCAAGTTTCAGCTCTGATGGCTCTTCCCTCTTCTCTTCCGCAACTAAATAAAAATTTAAATTGTCTGTCATAATAGCAAGCTAACAAATTTATTATGTTTACAAAACAAACGAATATGACGACAATGATGGTGAGATATTTGCAAAACACCGGACCGCAGGTATCCGCGGGTGAGGAAAGAACGCACTATTACCCTTTCCTAAGGCTAACGCGTTCACCACAACACCGTGCGGGTTCTTCGTTTCGCCTTTCTCTCAGCTAGTTTTATATCTACCAGTGCAATAAACAATCACCCGTCAACGGAATTGAGCTAGAGAGCAAATGAGCATTAAATCGAGTTAAGCCGTGGCTGTAGCCGAAACTGTGTGATTGCAATGGTAGATAGAAAACTAGCTCAGAGTAAGGAGAAACGAAGAACCTACATGGTGTGGTGGTGAATGCGTTAGCACCCGAAAAGTGTAATAGTGTGTTCGGTCTTCACCGCAGTCACCTGCGTACCGGAGTTTTGCAAATAACTCAGCATCATTGTGATTGTATTTCACATAATAACCTGCCGTAAAAATTCCACTAGGCAGTAAATAAAGAGTTGACATAAACGAATTCTATTTGTAAATGAGGCCGCTAAGTCACTATCCGTACAGTAACTTGTGCACTATTTAGCACTTCAAAGATGCGCCTAAACTGTGACCACTGTACAAATCAGTAACGTAAAACACGGCAAAACTTGTAAGGTTTAAGCAACATCGCTCTATGCCGAGATTTAAGGAAGCTAGAACAGTAACGTACACCAACTATGAACACTACAAGAATTACTTTCATGGATGTTGAGCTGGTGAAAAAGTAATTTTAATTGCAATTATTGGTAATTAGTAAGAATTAGCTAACTGAGCCAGTTAATAAAAAAATCCTTCTATAAGAAGCTACTGTCTTCTAGGATTATTAGGCTTCTATAAAGAGCCGTACTACGACATAAATCGATCGACAAGTAGTTCCTTAGTTACCTGCTGCTTCGTACTGCTCGCCTGCTTTCTTCAGTATTCGCTCAGTTTTGAAATACGCTGAAAACTCAGAAGTTGGAGAGATAGTGGCCAACTCTGCTTTCAGCCTTTTGATTTCGTTGCCCAATCGTAAGAGCTCCGGATTAACACGTTTGTTCAATACACACGATTTTACCTGAAATCCTAGTAAAACAGTAGGTTTAGGAAAGATGAGTCGCTCAGCACTTAAGCATATTAAAATAGCTGTTTCACACAAATAAAGGACAAAGAATAAAGCTCTTGTGGTTGATCCCTCTAACGGATGAGATAAATGAATGCAAATCTGGTCTAACCAATGGCTCGCAGTGGCCTGACGATGTATCGAGCCAGTGCTACTATCCTCCCAAACAAGTACCAATTTGCTGACCCTGGTGGGATGGTGTTTGGTGCGCCTGCAGCGTGGTGAACGATCCCATGTGTATCGCTGGGCGCCTCCATTTATTACGCTACATGCGCCACTGGTTCCATATAATAACATACAATTTGTAAAACTCACCATATTGGAAAACCCAGAAGTGAAAACGTGGTGAAAAGAGAAGAGTACGGTGACGATGGTGACGAGAATCATTTCGTATAAGTTAAGGAAAGACTCCGAAAAACATTCCTCTTTAAGTTGTCCACAACGAAAGGACATGCTGTTATTTGTATGGTGTACAAAAGTTATCCTAAATAACTTAAATTTGAATATATCAATCAATCAATCAATCGACGATCGCGCGGTAATACGATCTCAATAGGAATGAGCGACTGATATAAGAAACTAGAATGAAAAAAGTTCTTTCAAACATGGTTAATCTTTGAAAAGATGGAGACGGAAACCATAAGATACTAGAACATTAAGGGCGTCACCTAAGAAGCCTAAAGAATTTGATAATTACGCGTCATGAAAAATCTACTGCAGATCATGTTCGATGATGACGCCTAATTTCTTAGTTCAGGTGTGCTAAAATTGGTGTACTGCTTTACTAGCACTAATTTTTGAAGAATTTTCTGAAATAGGGGGTTATGAAGAATGGGGAATATCGCTTATTATAAAACAAAATGGAGGTTTTACTTATTGTAGAAGAAGACCCCTTATGAAAATCGTAGAGCATCACCAGAAATCCTAATTTCACAGAGGATACTAATGTTTCTTTTTTTCTTCTTTGGAGAAATGTTATCAATCTTGAAGAGTGAAAAAAGACTGTCTATTCAAGATAACACCTCGTAGATCGATCCTGTCTGCGGCAACAGCTTCTTTTGTTGTTTCCATTCGTTCTACTCGAATCGAAGTCTTGTACGGTTTACACTATTCCTGTACCGTATTTTAAGACTAATCACTCATGAGAGGTCCTTATAAAATTTTTATTTGCTAGTGCTTCGGCTGTTTCGTCTTCTTCAGAGCCGAGATGATCCGAGTCGAGTCTCCACAGCCAATCGTCAATCAGTCACTCAATAACCGTTCTCTAGGATACGGTACTGTGTAGTGCTGAGGTTATCTCATTCGAGTGATGAGGTCAATCCATTCGAGTGAGTCCATTCGAGATCGCTCATTAAATACAGAAGATTCGACTCGAATTTAATACGAAAGCCCCGATCGCAAGGACAAACGGCTGTAGACCATCGACTCATATCAATCCGGTTCTGAAGAAGTCAAAGACGTCGAAATATTAGCCGATTATTGAGTTTTGAGAGAACCTTGTGTTAGCTTATCAGTGTTAAAAAAAACCCCTGCATGTATAGGCCTTGCATAAAACGCCCGATATCGATTTTTTGGCAACTGACGATAATTTCTTAACGATTAGAATATTTGAGGAGTTGAGAAGTTCACAGTTTTACAGAAAAGACTTCATAACGTTATCGTATATGATGTACACACGCTGACTTCCACATATACTATACGGAGCCCAGCACTTCTCACATCTGATTTTTTTCCTCGCATCCATCATCCACAAAGGTGTTCCACCTTTCACGTGCGACTTCTTCGGATACTGCCTGAGGATTTTCTTTTCATCCTGAATGTCGTTGAATGCTGATGTAGTCAATTCTGCATACAGTTCTGACATAGCCGGGCTAGAGAGCTTTCAACTGGACTGCACAAAGTGAATTTTTCCCAGAGAACTCCGGTGCCAATTTCCTGGCCCGGATGGATGAGAGGCATGGTGAGCCCGTTGCTGGATCGAAACAGCAACGTTCTCGTAGTGATCGGCATCACTACCACTTTGTTACCCACTCTCTATAGTGTATGTGTGTAAAAAATGTTAAAGCAGAAAGCTCTCGTCGTTGATCTACCTCTGTGGGATGCGTCACGCATTCGACTTCATTGAGCATCGTTGGAGGCGATCGAATGTATATCTGGCTTTCACAATGACTCGCGGTGGCATACCGATGTATCGAGCCAGTGCTGCTACCCTCCCAGACAAGTCTGATAACAATTTACCAACGCCAGAGAGATGCAAGGCTTGGTGAACTACGGACGCCAGGATCGATCCCATGTGGTGTGTTGCAGAGCACCTCTGACCACTGCGCTTTACGCGCCTCTATATATATATATATATGTATTTTCATAAAGTATTTTTTTTAACTTCAAACATATTCTAAGGTTCTAGGGACTTGCATTCTAAAAAATTCGTAAAAGTAAGTGAATTTTTGAAATTTCTAATTCCCGTTCGGTGCCCACATGCACCAAGGGTACCTTGTAGAGCATCATCGTGTCCTGCTTGATGAAATCCCGATTGTTAATCCAATTTCGTGTTTGAAAAACGACTCTTAGGACAGAAACGAATTGAAGAAGCAGAGGTTTCTTGGGCTAGAAAAATTGGCATGTCATTTTGGCAGAAAGAATAAAGTCGCATCTTCTTAGCAAAAATGTTGACATTCTAATAATTTATACTCAAGTCAGTGTACTGCGATACAAGATGAGATATAATGGTCTGAATTTGGAAGCGGCTAGTATTTCGAGGGTTAATGCATCGTACTCAATGCACGTTCGGCGTTGATTGTGAGAAACAGCTAGCCAGTTAAATGCAAATACAAATATGTGCAACTTTTTTTTGCGTCGTCCCAACGGTTTACCTCCTCATCGTGGCTGGGAGGTGTTCCTGGGTGTCGGGCTGCGATGTACAGCTGGCGGAGATTCATCCTTCGGCACGGTCTCCCAAGCTGGGAAGGAATCCGGCGTTTCCATCAAGAAGCCTAGCTAAGAGTAAACTAATACCAGGATCCACCACCGTCCTGGTGTCAAACTAGTCGCATGGTGGCAAATCTCACTCTGATCCACGAGGGCGGCGGCTGGTCTGCCTGTGGTGGTGAAGACCTGCGGTAGACTTTGGCCTGGCTGTGCTTGGGACTCCAGGGAACCATGATGGCTTAACCAGCAAATCTCCTAAAAATGGAGATTATGCTGGAGCCCCCACAACCAGTGAGGTGGGGCCATACAGGTATCAAGTCCAAGCAAGTTTTTTGCATAAAACTCTCATTTATAATTACTCTCCTCCATCCTGTTTTTTTTAGTGTCTGAAACTATTTTGCTTGGCCTAAGCATTTTTTTTTATTAAAACAAGTTGGAAAATATGCGCTCGGACACTTCGCTAGCTAAGCTATTTTATAGGACGAGTTAAAAATTCTGCTCTTTGCATCTTGTGATCGTAGATGTACTTCGATAGTGGTTTAGGCTTATAGCGAAGACCTAAGATGTGTGTCTTTTTAGTTCAGTCGCTAAAAAGCACTGGCACTGGCAGTTCAGACATGTTCAACAGATAACCACTATTTTAGTGCCGATGCATTGATATCAATGCACTTAAGGTACTATGTGTTCAATTTGCCAAAGCGTCAATGGTGAACTTTATGTATATAACCTCATAAGGTTAATCGATAAATTCGTTAGCGTTTTAACAGATAGGCTTAGCAAAAAGACTCCACTAATCGTCATTCTCTGAAGGTTGAATGGATAACAATTCCTAGTACTCGATCGGTGCATGAGAAATATCCACTCATTTATTTTCATCGTGGATACAGCTCCACAATATATGCAATCAATTTGGTCCATGGTAAATTATTTCTTTATGTTCCTTATTTTCTTAGATTCTCAGACTATTCTTATTCACACATAGCAGTTGTTAGAGGTCCCCGGTAATAAGCAATCGACCATTCCTTGGCTCGATCCCTCACTGAGGCTCACCAAGCCTTCTTCCCTCCCTTTGGGTTTCCACATTGGCACCATAGTCGTCTCGATGGATAGTGGTACTGACTTGATACATCGGTACGCTAGCGCGAGTCATTTTAAAGGTGATATATGCATTCAATCACCTTCAACGATGGTTAATGAAGTCGAATGCACTGCGCATCTTTATCCTTTATCTTAAATGATTTCTATACATATATTGTGTGGATTTCTGTACTTAATTAATAATAATTGTTCTACACCTGTTGCAGGCGAGAATGTTCAGGTTCGTGCTTGAATTTGTCTGCGGCGTGAGGATTTAAACTTTGATTCCATCGATGAATACAGTTAGCTTGCGCCGGCTAGGAACACTGATGCTCATCTTTTCGTATTCCTTCAAGATCTCAAATACGAAGACTGGCTTGGTGTTAAATGAACTGGTCTGGCTCCAGAAGACATCGCTCGAGCGTTATATGTACACTGTTCAGTCCTTCGATGTTGTCGAAATGTTTAAAGGATAAAAGTCCAGAGGGATATGCCATCCATTCGACTCACCCAAACATGGTGTATGTGATTGAATGCATACTCAGCATGTACAATGACTTCTGGTGGTCTAGGTGTGTGTAGTTGATGTTGCAGTCCTTCTAGACGACGAACTACACTTGCTGTATCTGGAGACGTGGAAGGCTTGATCACACCGGCGGCAGGATAGAACCAAAGATCTGTTTTGTGTATTGCAAACCTCGAAGCACTGCGCTACACGCGCTCTAGTCGAAATGTTAGCCCATCTTTTGCTGCATAGCAGAGAAATGGAAGAAGTACTGCTTCAAATTAGTGAGCACATACCCCACGATTTGGGAAGTTAGAGGTCCAAAAGTGATCAACACTGCACATTATGTATAACTTTTATCTACTGCCCATTATTTTTTTTTTCACGGCAGAGTGTTATCTGAAACACACAGAAGCCAATCGCGGTTCGATCTCGCGTGGGGTCCAAGTTTTGCAAACATATCTGCATCATTGTGGTTGTATTTCATTGCTCATTATTTTCTAAGTGAGTTGTTCCCTCAAGTCGTTGTTCAGATTCATTCAACGTCCAAGATAGCTATATTTTCTCCCCAGTTAGTGGTTCATTCAGTGTGATGTTGTCTCTTTTATGCAAGGCATTTTTCACCGTCTTTTCTTACCAATGATCCGTAGTCGTGCCTTTTCCTGCTCGATTCTTTTGAACAGTCGTTCTTTTGTTTGGCAGCGGTTTATCCGATTTCTTATGAAGCGTAAGTGGATGAATATATTGGCGAAACGAGTAGACCACTATACATCTGTACAAGAGAGCAACTAGTCGGTAAACTCAAAGTGAAACCAAGCATTTCACTTGGGGCGTGTAGAACATAGAGACAACGGAAATTTTGAAGTAAGAGTCACTATACTCGGCACTGGGCGCGTGTGGCGCAGTGATTGAAGGTGCTCTGCAATACACATGAGATCTATTCCCGCACTCCAGACTCACCGAGTGTTCCATTCCTCCGAGGTCGGCAATTTGGTACCAGATTTGTCTGGGAGGATAGCAGGACTGGATAGATGCATCGGTAGGTCACGGTGAGTCATAGTAACGGCCATATATGCATTCAATCACCTTCAAACGATGCTTCATGAAGTCGAATTCATGGCGCATTCTTCAGGAATTGATCAACGCCGAGAGCTTTGTCCTTTATCTTTTATTGTCCTTGCACAGAAATTCAAAACACCAACGCGCAAAACTCTTGAAGCATTCTGGATGAATTCCAAAAATACAAAAATGGACAGCAAATAGGAATGTCTTGTG